AAAAAAAAAAAAAAAAAAAAGATAATAATAATAATAATATAATAATTATATAATAATAATACAATAATTATAATAATAATAATAATCTATATAATAATAATAATAATAATTATAATAATAATAAGTGGAAACAGGGCGCAGGTGTAGTGAGGGCTCCTACCCTTCGGAAGCGTCAGGAAGATGAGCCTGTAGCGGGGCCCAGTGGATTGTGTGGCACTGCCTCGCGAAAGGATTCCACACAGAGGCAAGTCCTGGACAAGAGAAGGGATGATACACCGCAACTTCGTGATAGTCACCACACGGAGGAAACTCAAAGTGGACTACTCGAAGTACTGGAAACAAGTATCTCAGCCGAAAAGACCAGGGGTAAAAGAATACCCTGGAGTGAAGAAGAGTTGAGAGAAGTGATGTGGTGTTATCATTACTGTAGGCTTACTGATAGGAATACCTATGTTGCAGTCTATAAGATGTGGAGAAGGCGCAACCCAGACTCCAGACTTAACATCGATGCAAACAAACTGCAAAACCAAAGAAGATACATCCAACAGAATAAAAGGTTATCAGAAGAAGTCATAAATGAACTGATTGAAAGCATTAAAGAAACGATCGATAGAGAAAAGACAGTAGACCATCACGATGTCGCACAGGTATCAGAAGACATGTTGAAGTATCTGACATGCACAAAGAAATAAAGGACAAATATCTAAGCCTGATTGAAAAAAGCATATCTGAACGTGACTGTCTGCCCAGAATATACACCAGTAAAAGAGCAAAGCGACTCATCGAGGAAGGCAACTGCATAGTTAGCAACATATTGCAAACAATGGGACAGAAAGACCTAATAGATAGATTGCCTCATTTATGCTACAGCATATGTGATTACATCAAAATTAGTAAAACCGACAGCGCGAAAAGAATAGCTGGGACCCCAAAGCAAACACCTAACTGGCAGAGGCGGCTAAGTAATAAAGTTTTGGGCCTCAGGAGAGACTTATCGAATTTAGTTAACATACAAAATGGCAGGCTGTCCGCAGAGTCGGCTAAAGGGAAGATGCTGTTAAACAAATACGTCACAGAAGGAAAAACGCTAATAGAGAAGATAGAGGTAATGAAACACAAATCTCGGCCACTGCTCAAAGACTCAGAAGGTACAAGAATCGACAAGAGCAGCACAAGCAAAATAGTCTCTTTAATGTCAATCCCAAAGCATTTTATAGGGAGCTGCGAGAAGGAAGAAGGGAACCCATTGAAGCTCCAGCCATCTCCACAACTGAAACGTATTGGAAAAGTATTTTCGAGAAAAGTGTTAACCACAACGAGAACGCAAAGTGGCTGAAAAAGGTAGAAAGGGATAGAGCACAACAATGAGCTGGCAAAATATCAGTGTCGTGGAAGTCAGATCAGCACTACAGGCCCAAAATTGGAAAGCCCCTGGTATAGACCAGATACCTAATTTCTGGCTGAAACATCTAGTGTCCACACACGAAACAATAACAATGATATATAATAGTTACCTCGATAACGGAACAGATATCCCGAACTGGCTACCAAAGGGTAAAACATACCTCCTTCCAAAGTCTGGAGATAGTAAGGACCCCAAGAATTATAGGCCTATCACCTGTCTGAACACGTTGTACAAATTGTTAACTAAGTAGTAGCCAGCAGAATATCTGATTATGTAAATGATAATAAGATAATACCAACAGAACAAAAAGGTGTGGCAAGGGCCTCTTGGTTGCAAGGATCAGCTACTCCTCTCGAAAGCCATTGTAGAAGATTGTAAAGAGAACAAAAAAAATCTTAACATTGGATGGATTGACTATAGAAAGGCATTCGACAGCGTCCCGCACAGCTGGCTCCTGAAATCTCTGAAGCTTATAGGAACATCTGAGAAGATCATTGATCTGTGTAAGCGATTGATTCCGCTATGGAGTACTACCCTGTTAGTCAGTAATAATGGGGAAGAAATAGAGTTAGGACCCATACAGATAAAAAGAGGTATATATCAAGGTGATACCTTGTCACCTCTTCTGTTTGTGATTGCGATGGTTCCTTTAAGTACGCTACTCAACGAGGCCAACCTAGGTTACCAACTTAAAGGAGCAAATGATTGTCTCTCCCATTTGCTATATATGGATGACCTGAAGCTCATATCTCCCAGCCAAAACAAACTGAAAACGTCATCAATATTGTAAAAAAATTTAGCGACGACATACAGATGAGCTTCGGTCTCGATAAGTGCGCTGTAGTCACATTCAGGAGAGGAATGCACTATGACTCTGCTAATATAATGGTTGATGAAGGAGAGTCGATCAAATCACTAGAGCATGGCGGAGTGTACAAGTACCTGGGAATTAAAGAAGGCTCACACATCACCCACGATTCACTGAAAGTTGACATTAGACATGAGTATATAACGAGAGTACGTAAAATTCTGCAAACTCAACTCACGTCTAGAAACAAGATAACAGCAATTGGAGCTCTTGCCATACCAATCATGCAGTACAGCTTTGGTATAATCAATTGGACATTGGATGACATAAGACAAATGGATCGCAAAACAAGAAAACTAATGACAACACATAATATCCTTCATCCCAAAGCAGACATCGACAGATTATACGTGCCACGAAAGAAAGGGGGACGAGGACTAAAGCAAATAGAAGAAACGTACAACAATACTATCTTCTCAGTAGGGCAATATTCAAACTAGATCTGAGCAAGACCGCCTACTACAGATGTTACTAGCACATGACAATAGGAAACCAACAAATAGATCTATTGTAAAGCGTAGTAATAAGATCAAATTAGAAGCTGCGGAAACCGGACACACGGTCGAGCGAGGTAACAGGTCCATCAAACTGTACTTGAAGCAATGTGTCGAAGAGAAATGGCGGAGTAAGCCTCTACACGGACAGCATATCCGTCAAATGGAGGAGCTTCCGGTTGACTTAAACTGTCATTTGGATGGTTACAATACGGAGATTTAAAAGGGGAAACCGAAAGCTTGCTGGTGGCAGCACAAGACCAAGCCTTGAAAACGCGTTACATTGAGCAAGCAATACACAAGACGAGGAATGACGGTAAATGCAGATTGTGTCACATTCATAATGAAACTGTTGAACATATAATATCTGCATGTCCAATACTAGCGCCAAAAGAATATACTGACAGGCACAATAATGTCTGCGCAGCCATCCATCTAGAAGCGTCTCGCCACCTTGGTTGTCCAATAAAATCGACGAAATGGTATGAGCATCACCCCGACAGAAACACGAAGTGAAGATGGTAGTATCACAATAATGTATGACCATCCCGTTATCACGGATAGAGAAATAAAAGCAAACAGACCAGATATTGTTATAAAAACCACCGAAATATGCTATATAATTGATATATCGGTACCTGCAGATAGACATGTCATACAAAAGGAGGCTGAAAAGCAACTAAAATACAAATCATTACTCATAGAAGTGCAAAGAATGTGGCATACAAAGGCAGTTGTTATTCCCGTAGTGATTGGTTCAACTGGATATGTCACTCGCAACATCCTAGATAACCTAAAAAGGATACCAGGAGATCATAATTTCTATCATCAGTTACAGAAGATCGCCTTATTAGGCACATCGCACATAATTAGGAAAGTTATAACATAGCCAGCTCATAAACTGCAATGATCTGTACCCCTCAGGTCCTCGGCGAGGACCCGGTGTAGAGGTCAAACCGTTCCATATAGATACCGCTACTAATAGAAACGGTCCTGTAGCGTGAAAAAAAAAAAAGATAATAATAATAATAATAATAATTATAATAATAATATAATAATAATAAAATAGTAATAATAATAATATACAATAATTATATAATAA